CGATTATAGAGACCATAAGTAGGTTGAAAGTAAAAGGTGGAAAAAGATATATCCTGTTAATGTTAATTTTTTTAAAGTGGCTATATTAATATCAGACAAAATAGACTTCAGAGCAAAGAATAAAGAATCAGTGCATCAAGAAGACAGAGCAGTTCTGAATGTATATGCACCAAAAGCAGAGCTGCAAAATATGGGAAACAAAATGGTAAAGCTGAAAGGAGAAACAGATCTATAATTATGGTTCAGGAGTTCTCCATCCCACTCCAAGCAATTGATCGAGCTATTGGACAGAATATTAGCAAAGATAAAGAATAACTTAACAATAATAGCATCCAGTTGACATTTACAGAAATTCCACCCAAAATCAGCAGAATGAAAGCTCCCATGGAACATTTGCCAAATCATAACATTTGATGAGTCAAAAATGAATTTCAGTACACCTAAAAGATTAAAATCAGGGGCGCCTGGGTGGCTCAGTCAGTTAAGCATCTGTCTTCGGCTCAGGTCATGATCTTGGGGTTCTGGACAAGGAGTCTGCTTCTCCCTCTCTCTCTATCCCTCCCCTAGCTTGTGCTCTCTCTCTCTCTCTAAAATAAAATCTTCAAAAATTAATTAATTAGTTAATTTTAAAAGATTAAAATCATACAGAGTATGTTACCTGGCCATATGGAATCAAATTAGAAACCAGTAGTAGAAAGACCACAGGAAAATCTCTGATCATTTGGAAATTAAGAGTATACTTCTTAATAATCCATGGGTCAGAGAGGAAATTATCACAGGAAAATTTAAAAATAAAATGAGGGGGTCTGGCTGGCTCAGTTGGTGGAGTGTGTAACTTTTGATCTCAGGGTTGTAAATTCAAGCATCACGTTGGGTGTGGAGATTACTTAATTATTTTAAAATCTTTTAAAAAAATGAACTTCATGATCACAGGGAGCTGATGGAAGTGTTGAATTACTGTATTGTACACCTACAAATATATTACACTGTACGTTAACTAACTGGAATTAAAATCAAAACAAATTTAAAATGAACTGAATAAAAACAAAAGTACAACATCAAAATTTGTAGAATGCAGCCATAGCAGTGCTGAGAGGGGAACTTATGGCCCCAGGTGCTTAGAAAAGAGAAAAGATCTCAAATCAGTAGTCTAAGTTGCTACATCAAGAAACTAGAAAAAGAACAAAATAAATCTGAAGCAAGCAGCCATCAGTGCAATTGTAGACAAGAAAATAACAAAGGAAATGTATTAAATCAAAAGCTGGTTCTTAAAAAACACCAATACAGCTGGTAAACCTGGAACAAAATTGACGAAGCTAAAAAGAGAGAAGACACAAACCACTAACAACAGGAATAGATAGGGGATATTACTACAGCTATTCAAAGGATAAAAGTGAACACTAGGAGCACATTTACACCCCCAGATTCAATAACTTAAAAGAAATTTCTTGAAAAGCACAGATTACCAAAACTCAACCAAGGTAAAATAGATAACCTGAATAATCATTAATAAAATTCGATTTTTTATTTAAAAATATCCTGAGAGATTCCCTGTAGGGGTTTACTTTACATTTAAAGAATAATTAACACCAGTTTTACACATTCTCTTCCAGAACATATAAGAGGCAGGAATACTTCTGAGTCATATTATGAGGTATGTATAAAACCAGACAAAGACAGTACAGACTATTGTTTCCCATGAACTTAGATACCAAATATTAACATCATACCCAGCAATATATAAAAATTGCAAACAACAGCCCAGTAGAGTTTATTCCAGATATGTATGGCTGGCTCAGTCATCAAAAACCAAATCAATGTAGGGGTGCCTGAGTGGCTAAGTCAGTTAAGTGTCTGCCTTCAGCTCCGGTCATGATCCCAGAGCTCTGGGATCAATCCCCACTTTGGGCTCACTGCTCTGTGGGGAGCCTGCTTCTCCCTTTCCCACTCTCCCTGCTTGTGCTCTGTCTCTCACTTTCTCTGTCAATAAAAAGTAAAATCTTAAAAAAAAAAAAAATCAATGTAAATCCGTATCAGCAGTCTAAAATTTCATAAGCATAGAAATACATTCAACAAAACCCCAACACCCATTTATAATGAAACACTCATCAAAGATTAGAGGGAGAATGTTCTTAACTTGATCAACTTCCTTATCTACAAAAAAAACCTATACACGCTTAACAGTGCAATACTGAGTGCTTTTCCCCATGACACTGGGAAAGAGGCAAGATGCCTGCTCTCACCATTCCTGCTTACTGGAATTCTGGAAGTTCTGATTAGTGCAGCAAAGTAAAAGGGAATAAAAGGGCGTTTAGATTAGAAAGGAAGAAATAAAGATGGCTCTCTTTGCAGATGACACGACTGTCTGTATAGAAAATTCCAAGGAATCTACGAAAAAAACTCCTAGAACTACTAAGTGTTTCAGCAGGGTCACAGGCTAGAATTAACTGCATTTCCACGTACTAACAGTGACACCATCTTCATAAAAATCTTGTGCCTCAGTGTTTGGAGCTGCGCTAGGTGGACAGTGAGTGAAACTGTGGTGGAGATGTACCAGGCAGTATGGTCAGTAATAAAGGGGAACGAACCCCTGATCCATGGAGCAACCCCGATGCCTCTCAGAAGCATTACGCTGGGTGAAAAGAAGCCAGACACAAAAGAGAACATACTGTGTGATTCCATTTATGTAATAATCTTGAGATAATGTTCTAGAGATAGAGAGCAGATTAGTGGTTGCCAGAGATTTAAGGATTAGAAAAGGAGGGGAGGGGATGGCTCGAAAAGGGTGGCATGAGGGAGCCCTGTGGTAATGGCACACTTCTCTGTCCTGATTGTTAGGAGTGGTTATGTAAAACTGCACGTGCTGAAATTGCATGGCACTGTGTGTGTGCGTGTGCACGTCTCACGAATGAGTGCACGTGGAACTGAACACATGCAAGTAAGCTCTGCGGATTGTACCGATACCCATGTCCTGGTTTTAATAGCGTGCTGTACTTCACAGGGCTTGGGGGGAGGCGAGGTCAAGTGTACACACATTAAGTTCCTTCCAAAGGCCTTTTTAAAATGCACGCAGAAGGGTATTTGCATTAGAAACGTACCTTGGCCCCCCATCCCTTTTCTAGACAAACGTATTTCTTACTAGTTTTGTATTATCTTACTATTCTGCGCCTTACTTCTTTTCTTCACTTAATAGAGATGGTTCCATATTGGCCATGCTTTATTTTTTCAGATGCAGAGATTGCGTTGGTATTTCTGCCACAGTGCTGAAATCATGTTTCTTTTTTCTTTTTTTTTTTAAAGATTTTATTTATTTATTTGACAGAGTGAGATCACAAGTAGGCTGAGAGGCAGGCAGAGAGAGAGGGGGGAAGCAGGCTCCCTGCTGAGCAGAGAGCCCAACATGGGGACGGATCCCAGGACCCTGGGATCATGACCTGAGCCGAAGGCAGAGGCTTAACCCACTGAGCCACCCAGGCGCCCCTGAAATCACGTTTCTGTGAACAGACTTCCAGGGTGTTTTCGTTCTGTCCTATTAGGAACGTGTTCTGATGAGGACCTTGACACGTTTGCAATTTTGCTGGTGTGTGAATACACCTCTAAAATATATTTCTGGGGGCATCTGGGTGGCTCAGTCATTAAAGCGTCTGCCTTCGGCTCAGGTCATAATCCCAGGGTCGAGCCCTGCATGGGGCTCCCTGCTCAGCAGGAAGCCTGCTTCTCCCTCTCCCACTCACCCTGCTTGTGCTCCCTCTCTCGCTATGTCTCTCTCTGTCAGATAAATAAATAAAATCTTAACAAGTAAGTAAGTATTTTAAATACATTTCTGGAAATTGGATATCTGGATTAGAATTTAGCTACATTTAGTCTTCAGAGACATCGCTAGATTGCCCTGCACAAGAGTTGTACCTACCATTCCACACACTTAGGCGCGCGACAATCTCATTTATCCCCACAGGCTGTTTTCACGTTGTAGGACTTCTGACAATATGTTAGGTTAAAAATGACATCTCAGTGTGGTTTTAATTATCATTTCTCTGAAAAATTGGGCACCTTTTGTTACTTTTTAAAAATTTTTATTTCTTCTTCTGGAAGCTGTGTTCATAATCATTGGGCCATTATTCCAGTGGGTTGTTGGCTTTTGTGGGAATTAGTGATTTGTAGGTGTAATTTATATAATAAGCTGTTTGTCTTTGATATGGTGTTCAGTTTTTTTCCTATTTGTCTGCTTCCTGACTTACTATTTTTTTTTCCCACATTGACTTTTTAAAAAATTTTTCCTTAGACCGATCTTCTGTGCCTTCGGGATTTTGTGCCACTCAGAAAGGTCTTCCCCACACCCAGGTTATAAATTTCGTGGTATTTCAGTGCATTTGGGTGTAGCCCTATTGAAATCTGGAGTTATCTCCCCACAGTGGTGCTGCTGGGCCCAGCCTTAGGCATAGACTTTATTTCTGGCCTTGGGTCTGATTTCATGGGTCTCCTCGGGCTTGTTGGAAATCTGGGTCACTGCTAGAACCAGATCAAGTTAATCTCACATCCTCCATAAAGTGGTGCTTTACAGGGAAAGGAAGTAAGGGGAGGACATTGGATGATCTTCTGGCTCATATCCCATCTTCAGCAACCTTTATTCCAAGAGATAAACTCTTATAGAAGAGGTTATTGTCCCATGTGCTCTGGGAGTTAGTGCTTAGGTGACAGAACCCCTTTGCTGGTCTCCAGGGAAGGGAAACCAAACTTTAAGGGCTGTTGCCTCCCATTGGTCATTTGTGCAAATCCCACTTAGGTTGCTTCTCCACAGGGACCAGCTGCCTGAATCTCTGGAATCTAAAACGGCCCTGTCACAATGAGAGGAACTTGGGAGTCCTGTCCACATTTCAGAGCACAGCCCTGTGGATTTTCTTCAGAATGCAGTGCTAGTCAGTGGTCTCTCTCTCCTAAGACTTGCTTTTTCTAAATGGGTATGAAAAACATCTGCTTAGCATGACTTTACCCCCACTTAGGAATAAGTAAGCCAGAAGAAGGCCGGCCTGCGGGGAGTGTGACCGGAAATGACATCACCGCCCCTCCAAACAAGGAGCTCCCACCAAGCCCAGAGAAGAAAACAAAGGTAGGCACCAGAGTGGTGGGTTATCTTCTCTGGCTACCATTTTTTAAAACCCTATCTTCTGCTATTATTGCTTGAATCATGAAAGAAATTTCTTTTTTCTGAGCTATTAGTAGGCCTTCTCCAATTTTGGACATTCTTAGAAAATATTTTATATTCCTATTGTACCATAGTAGCCTAACTCAACCCTTACAGTCTCTGCCTTTGACCCCATGATCCTATGTGTAGAAATGTTCTGTAGGGCTGATTTCTACTCCCCCTTACAGCAGCAATAATGGGATTTTGCAGAACTATTCAGAAATAGATTCTGTAATCTTTGCTTGTAAAAAGGGAACTCAGATTTTTAAGGTGGATCAAAGCTTCAGGCACTTTCACTGGTGCTCATTGGCGAGTTCAAGTGCCATACTTCATCAAGGCACAAATAATGACCATTTAATCACCTGCTAATGACTTTCTTCATAGAATTTTTGCAGCCACCAAAAGTTAGTTAATTGTTTAAAGCATCACTGAATTTAAATCTTCAGGCACCAAACTGCTGGAATTTGTGACGTTTGTCATTAAGAGTGAATTCCCAATTTTCTTTATCTTTCTCATGGCTTCTTTTTATCCCTTACTGAGCTCAGAAGAACAGAATGCTGCTTTTCAGTTGCATATATCCTCATTGCTTATAATTTTACTTTGAATTGTGCAATTTATACATTTTTTTAATTTGTTTTTATTTTTGTCTGTGTGTTTGATGTTGACTTTTTAAAAAAAAAAAACAAAACAACACATCAACTTAAAGCCTTTGGCCACCACTCAACCTGCAAAGACTTCAACATCGAAAGCCAAAACTCAGCCCACTCCTCTCCCTAAGCAGTCAGCTCCCACCACCTTTGGTGGGTCGAATAAAAAACCTATGAGCCTCGCTGCAGGCTTAGTGCCGGCTGCCCCACCCAAACGCCCTGCTGCCACCACTACCAGGCCTTCCACCTTACCTGCAAAAGACGCAAAACCCAAGGTAAGTAGCCACCTAAGCCCTGTGCCAGGGAGATGTTTTCCCCACAAGGGTCCCATCACTCTCATTGCTACCTGGCAGTGTAGTCAAGCTGGTGGAACTGGGGGAAGGGGAGAAAGGTCACTTGCAAATCTTGGGGGCTCACGATGCAGCCATAACATCTGAAGGCCTTTTAGACTTTGTACCTTTCCTTTCCCTGCTGGGAGGCAATACTGCATCTGCCTTCTTTTCCTTTCTCCCAGCTCCTCCTTAGTACTCTTCCCGGTTTGAGCACTTATTAGCCAGTTTGCCCTCCTCCACAGACTGTCACATACTCTTTTTGGGTAGAGTTCCCACATCAGATACCTCAAATTTGCTTCCTTATCTCTCTCTTTAATCGTCTGGCAGAAGTGAGTTTTGCCTGTTACTTTTTGGAATAAGGTCTTCTAGCTGACCTCTGTACATTGCAACAACATGTGACAATTTCCTTTGCTTTTGACACTGGGCCTCTCTCAGTACGCTCCCCCTGCAGGTTTTCAGTTTCCCAGGTCACCCACACATAGCTGCTTAGAAGCTGGTCAATTTGGAGCAGAAGTAGCTCCAACAGGATCGTTCTAGAATGGCCTTTGGAGTCTGTGGCTGCCTTCCTTAACATCTTGTTTCATTTGAGAAGGGCCTTTCAGTCAGCTCAGTGTTACTGGTTATATTCATGGTGGGCGGTCGTTGCCAATGTTAAAATGTATTGTATCGTGTTAGTGTATCATGTGATCTTGTAAAGAAAATCGGTGGAACCTAGGAATTGTAGTCTAGGTTGGAACCTGGCCAAGAAACTGAGAAATCCTGTCACAGAGTAAGAATGGTAAAATATATAGCTTTCTGACCCTCCTCATTTACCCAGTTGACTACTTTCTCGATCGTGAGAAGACAGTATATTAGCATGAGAGGGCAGAGGAAGGGCGACTGGAGCCCTGGCACCCAAAGTCCTAGAGCTGATGGAAGCCGGTGTGGGAAGGGGGTGTCTAGTGAAATTTCACTTTGCAGTAATAATCATCATGAAAATGTCCTCTACTGTTTCCTTTATATAAGCTAATTCCTTTGTCTCTCTGAACAACCCATGATGTGGGTATTAGTATTCTCATTTTATAGCTCAGTGAAATAACCTTCCTAAGGTCCAGTGCTAGTAAGTGGCAGAGCCAGTATTTGAACTTGGGACTGACTCTAACAGTGATGCTCAGGGCCTCTGTCAATATTCTTCTTTCATAGCTTCTGCCGTTCAGCTTTCAGACAGCATTGTGAGAACAGCTGACCTTTTTGAAAAGCTGATCTGCCTTCCAGTTATTACCGCTGTTTGTTTTTTAAATAAGAAACAAGATGAAAATATTTTGGGAGCTTGATTAAAAATTAAAGTCTAATGAAATTTATTTTTATTCTTATTTTGGTAGAAAGATTGAAGAAGCAGACAAAGGGGAAAAAAACTTACTTAGAAAAAATAAGTAGATCCAGGATTCTGGTAGAGAAGAAAACTGAGATTGAATTCTCAATTCAATTCTCAGTTGAATTAAATCGAGAAGGAGGAGCCTAACTGCAGTTAGGAAAGCGGGCTGGTTCTGTCGCTTGCCAAAGCCAGGAGCCTAAGTCTGAATCCAGGGTGTCACATTTTTTTAGAGCTTTCTGTCCCTTATACCTTTTTTCCAACTTAACCACTATTACTGACAAAATAAGACCCTACTAGATTATTCTGAATCATAGCCCGAATGTTAAGAATTTGAAGGAGACCTCGGAGAATGTCTGGTTTATACCCAGATCTTCAAGCCGATGGGAGGGATCCCTCTGCATAAAATCCTGTGATCTGTTCTGAACAGACTGGCAGCTGCAGCCAGTTCCTGCCATGCTCAGGGACTTCATCTGTAGAAATGGTCATGACCCTGCTCTTCCAGGACTTGACTTTAATTGGATGCCAGCCCTTACATTTCTGAGCACCCTCTTGGCCAATTATCCATTTAAGCTGTATCGTGCTTGTCCCCACCAGCAGACGGCCCTGTGTGGCCATTTCTTGTGGAGTAAAAGAGCATGGTGCGCTGTGTCTATGATTTGGTTTATTCTCTTGAGTAACTTGGTACTTCTGTTCCCGTAGAAACCGGGCTAGATTGATTCCTCCCCTTCCTTACTAGTGAGGATGTACCCAGCTTCCCTGGAAGAGGAATTGGGGTGACCCAGATGCACTTGCGAGACTTTTCCCTTTTGCTCTCAGTCACAGCTGGGACATCAGTGCTTCTCCTCCCGTCTGGTGGTCAGGCCTGCCTCCTCCAGTCCCTAACACTGCATAGCACCAAAGCTGGTTCCCAGAGATCCTCCGTTTGATCTCCTTTTTCCAGCTGAGGAAGTAAAGCCCAGAGAGGCTCTGTGATTTGCCCAGGAACACACTGTGAGCTGGGGTGTGAGCTGGGGGCCTGACCGGGGTTAGAGCTCAGGCTTCTGATCTAACTGGTGAGGGCCAGTGTTCTCGCCATTTGCAGCCCTCACCCCGCATTCACAAGGTGCATCTTAGCCAAAGGAATGCCTGAATTCGATTGAACTTAATCTTTAATTTTTTATGTTATGTATTTATCTATCTTTGGTCAAGTGATTAAATTCTGATGTATTTAATGTATTTAATGTAATACATTAGATCCTGAGACAAGCTGTATCTGTGATGTAGTATCCTTTTCCGGTTTGTTCATTCTCACTGGTTCAGGCTGGATTGGGATAGTTAGGCTCCCTGTTTGCTGACTCCAGCTGACACAGAGCCCTGCACAGCCCATTTCTATGTTGTCTGAAGGACTTAGATCTTAGAGCAGCGTAAACTTTTGCCGGTTTTTGGTGTCCGCCAACTTCCCAGGGCTCTTGCTGACCTGCAGTTCTTCTCCCCACTTCCCTGTTACCAGTCTGCTGCAGAGGCAAAGGTTCCTGAGAAACGAACCTCACCGTCCAAGCTGGCCTCTGCTCCAGCCCTCAAGCCTGGCTCCAAGAGCACCCAGACTGTTCCAAAAGCCTCAGCCGCTGCCAGTCCTGCCTCAGCTGGGCCAAGCAGTCGAAGCCCCCCAACGCCTGTGCCCAGAAGGCCCACCAGTGAGTCCTGTCACCCTTCATTCCTGCGGGAACCAGTGGGGAGAAGGGTGGGGCCTTGGCTTTGCCCCCGTCAGTAGCTCCAGCCAACGTCACAGAAAGCCATGCACCCCTGTTTGTGCACTCATCCTTCATGGGGTACATTGAAAAGTGGATGTATATTCAGAAAATTCTCGAGTGAAAGGAATTCTTAGGGATTCCCAGGTAGGATTTACTCTTCCTTTCTTAGTAACTTCACAGCGCTCAGCACATCATGGTCCTGGGCGGACATGACAGGAAATAGATGGTTCGGTTCCACTGGCGTGTACTGATGACCCACTTCTGAGGCCATGCGGCAGGCATTGGCAAGCTTGTAGAAAAGGACAAGACAGAGTGGGTGGCCGTGAATGCTCCAGAGGGCACAGTCTGGCTGATTTCCTCCTCGTTTAGTCCCAGTGACTAGCACAGCCCATGGCCTGAAAGAGACATTCAGTCATTGTTGAATGAATGAATGAATCTCAAGACTGGATGAGCCATTCACTAGGTCACTTCGTAAGCACTCAGTGTTAAAACATGCATGTCTGTGCAGCCATCAAGACCGAGGGAAAACCTGCAGACATGAAGAAGACAGCTACACAGTCTGTGCCAGGTAACACCCCGTGCCCTACTTCGTGGAACCCTAAAATAAACCCCTGCCTCTCTGTGGCTCCCTTTTGCTCTCTCCCCCTGACCCCGTGTCCTCGCTCACTCCTACCTTTGCAGCTGACTTGAGTCGCTCCAAGAGCACGTCCACCAGCTCCGTGAAGAAAAGCACCACTGTCCCTGGGGTCGCCCCTGCGGCAGGGGTGGCTCCCAGCCGAGCCAAGCCCACACCCACCCCGCCCCGGCCCTCTGGGACGCCTTCCTCAGACAAGAAGCCCACATCAGCCAAGCCCAGCTCCTCTGCCCTGAGGCTGAGCCGCCCGTCTACCAACACTTCTGCCCCTGATCTGAAGAATGTCCGCTCCAAGGTTGGCTCCACAGAAAACATCAAACATCAGCCTGGAGGAGGCCGGGTGAGTCCAGGGAGCTGGGGGTCCTCGGCATGCCGGCCCTAGCTGCTTCCACTGCCACACACACACACCCGCACCCACCCCCCGGCTGTCCCCCAGCGTGTCCTCACATCAGCCCTGGGTTCCCACCAAAGAAGAAGGGCTGTCGGGACATTGGATTCAGTGCCAGGGACTTTCAGCCTGGGCTCCAGGTCCCAGCAGCAGGCTCTTAATTCCCATCCCCATCAGAGGGGCTCCTGTTCTGTGTTGTGGGGTTTAGGCTTAGATTTTGTTTGGAGGCAAAAGGGTTCTTCCCCTTAACAAGACAAGCAGAGGAGGACTGTGAGATCCTGTGAAGGTGAGAGACTAAATGTGCTCCCCACCCCTACCCTGTCTGAGCGGCAGGACGTGTAGGAGGTGGAAGCTTTGATGTGGGGAGGGGAGCCTTCTTCCTGGAAGAGGAAAGAGTGTCCTCTTGCGGCTGTGGCTGTGACTGGGGGGACTCGCTGCTGCAGGCCTCCCACTTTCCTAATCAGAAGGGCTGCCACAGGGGGTTGTGACAGAGGATGGCAGGGCAGGCCCTGGCGCTTCATGCTTCAGGATTTTCTGGTGGCATCCACCGTAGAATTAGCAATGGTCAGCTCTTTGCAACGGCGGGACTTTGGTATATGGAAAGGTGGTGGCAAAAGTCCCAGTCCAAGTCCTTGGAACGGGAACCTTCTCATTTCCTATATCATTCTCTAGCAGTAAACCACCACCCCTCCCACTCAGGGTAGGGTTTAAAACTCAGGTTTAATTTGCTTCAACCCCGAGCCTGTAAATAATTGAAAACAGGGTCCAAAATGAGGCAGAATCCTGGTACTTTTGGAAGACAGTCATGGCAAACTGAGGTTAGTCTGGAAAAAGGGCCTGAGAGTTGTTTTGGCTAAGAGGCTGCGGCTCTGGTGTACCCAGACTGTGACCCATCTCCCCCTTCTGGACTCTTTTTAGCCTTTCCTTGGGCAAACAGTTGCAGGTGGTCTTGGTGGAGAGTTGAGTGACTCGGCCTGGTGATCAGATTGTTTTCTCTGTTCCAACATAGCTGAGTGGTGTGACACTCCCATCCTCAGTAGTAGTTCCTGTGCACTACGTACGGCAGCTTGCTTGGGGTGAAGACATTTGAGTGGGAGAGCATCCTGATGGGAAAACACACACTCCAAAGAGAATCACTAACTCAGGCCTCCTTCCTGCCTTCTGTGAATGCTATCTTGAGCTCTTCCTTGGGTCTCAGGGCTGGACTGCAGCTCCTCCCCCTGGCTGGTCTACCCTGGAAACTGGTGGTTTTTTCCTAGGAGCACAGGGTGACCTGCTTCTGCCTGGTGGCCTGGCCTGGATTCGAGTCCCCTACAGCTTTCTTCCCTTCTTGGCATTTGGGCTCTTACCCTCTTGGTTTGAAATGTGCCCTCCCTTTATCTCCATCCAGGCCAAAGTAGAGAAAAAAACAGAGGCATCTGCTCCGGCTCGAAAGCCTGAACCTAACGCAGTCGCTAAAACAGCTGGTCCCATTGCGAGTGTGCAGAAACCACCTGCTGGGAAAGTGAGTTTTATTTAGACTTTTACCTCTTGAAGGTGAAAGATGATAAACTGTTTCTTCCAGCCTGAATCACTTTCCCTTCTACTGCACTTTTTTCCTGTCCTGAACTAGTTTCTACGTTGCCCCTGCATTCCCTCCTCTTTGTTTGATGACTCAGCCATCAGAAAAATTTCTGTATTAACCCTGACAGTTAACAGAGTTGGGAGCCTATTACCTTCTGGGGAATATTTATTCAACCGGATAACATGGATCCAAAGACCTTCAGCCCCTTCCTTCCCACTGACCTTGATGTGAAACCCCACCCGTTGTGCACACGAAACACGCACACCGAGCACCTAGGTCCTGCCTCAGGGAGACATGGCATTGGTTACTTTCCAGCACCTGGAGCCCTGGTGCTTTAAAGTGACCCAGAAGGCCCCTCTCATAACATGCCGACTACAGAGATAGCTTCATTTGCTCCGGTTCCCCATGTCCCCTCCTCACTGAGGTTCGGGTGGTCATTCCCTCTGGAAACCCACTCAGCCTAGGGCTTGCACAGGTAAGCAGAAACTCTAGGTTCTTCTTCTTTGCCTCTACATCCTGAAACCAGGCCCCTCCTGCTTGCTGTGGGAACCTTCTTCCCTTAGCTGTGGCTTGTCGGTGGTCACTCCAGCCAGGGGCCGCTGGAGGGGCCTAACCTCCAGCTCTCAGGGCCCAAGGTGGGCAGTGTCAGCCCAAGGAATCTGTACAATCGGTGAGGCTTCTAGGTGACTCCTGGAGGTCCTGTAGGCCTCTGGTTCAGAGCAGGGTTTCATTAGGAAACAGTTTGCTAACCAGTTACTCATCACTGACATTGTAAAGAAGGCACAAAACTGTAAGGTATTTGGGTCGGAATTTCTCGGGGTGGATTTCTCCACGGTGTGGAAAACTCTTCAGCTTGGGGCCTGCTTCATTTGTGAAGGGCTCTGAAGCAAAGGAAGGAAGCTGGCAACTGTTTCTTTTTCAGAAGGCTCAAAGAGAATTCTTTGTTCCAGCCCTTAGAGCCTGGGCCTTTGTGTGGCTGCGTTCCAAGGGGAGCCATTCAGAAGCACTACAGTGTGCTGTGTCCAGTCCCCGTACCCCACCCCACCCCCGCCCGCCCCATAATGCATCACTGCAGCCCTGCTTGGAGCCACTTCTCCTTGCGCACAAAACTCACAGAGCACAGGATCGGGCATGTGGAGGATTGAAGGAAGTGTTTTTACCCTCTAGTTGAAAAAAATCTAGACCAGAAGTTCACCGGTCCTGTGCTTTCTCGAGCCCCGAGACTAACAGGCTGCTTGAGTGTGGAGCTGCCGAGAATGTGGCGTGTGCTCCCCCTGGCGTCCGGATTCCGCATGGCAGGCCCAGTGGCCTCTGGTCCATTTGCATTCATAACTGAGCTCTGATGTCCCTTCCTTCCTGTATCAGGTCTGTGCCCTGTGAGCCAGATGCTCGGTGCTTCTCAGAGCAGCCTTTGCCTCCCAGAGTGGGTCTGGCTGCCGCAGTTCCCAGCCCCAGCTTTAAGGGAAGGGCCAAGCTTCGGTGAGGACCAGTCCGATGAGCAGGACCCTTGCAGAGAGGAGTCCCCGGACACTGCGTCAGCTTTTGGGGAGAGAGCAGGTGGGAGGAGGAGCGGGGCTGCGCCCGGGTAGGCCTCCGGGGCCTGCTGCTGCCTGGGCCTCATGAACCACAGCCCGGCCCCAAGGACCAGCAAGGAGGACCATTAGCCCTTCTGCAACCTCTGCTTCTGTCCTCGTGTTGTCTGTTCTTGTCTTCACTCCCTCTCCCGCTTCCCTCAGATTCCTTCCCCCGTGCTTCTCCACAGCTGTTCTGCTGCAGGTGGGCCGGAGCTGTAACCCCACCCTGTTGGCCGCTGTGATCACGTGTGGACTCCCCGTGTCAGTTCTAACCAGCCCTCTCCCTTTGTGTTGTTTTTTTTTTCTGTTCTCTAACACTCCAGGTCCAGATAGTCTCCAAAAAAGTGAGCTACAGCCATATTCAGTCCAAGTGTGGTTCCAAGGACAATATTAAGCATGTCCCTGGAGGTGGTAATGTAAGTATGAGCTCTGGACAGCTGGTGTCTGAGGCACAGCCCCCGTGGGCACCCTGGGGAGAGGGCCACCTGCCCACGCTGACAGGGCCACGGCAGCCTGACCCGGGGGCTTCCTCCTAGACGCAGGCTAGCGGAGTGAGGGGAGGCCTCAGTGTCGCGGTGTGCTTAGACTGGCTGTGTCGGGGAACCCCTCAATAAAACAACCCAGTGACACCCACTTGGCATCCTCTCACCCCTCTTTCCTGTCTGCTCTCTTTCCCCGACTTGTCGCCTTTCTGAATCCTTCCTCTCGTGTTTCCTCAGCCGCTCCTTTTCTTTGTCCCCTTCCTTCTTCCATCCACACACTCCTTTATCATGCTGCCCTTCTGTGCCAGCCCTGAGCTCTGTGTGGGGGACACAGGTGGCTCCGGCTGGTGGGGGCCCTGGTCCAGCGTGAAGAACACCTGTTCGCTCTGCACGTGTCCCCGTGACTGTGCAGAGACAGGTGTGAGTCCGGCACGCGCTGGAGGGGGTTGTGTGTGGAGCGGCCTTCGCCTTCGCCGCTCCTCACCCGCTTCTCTCCCCACCGCAGAGGGAGCGAGCCCATCCTGCTCCGTCCTGCCCACTCTGCTCCTTCTCCTTCCTGCCCGGAATTGGGCTGAGTGCTGCTCTGCTCGCCCCGTTCGTTTTCAGGCTCGGTCCCTCCTGCCCCTCCAGTGGCCGTGCCATCCTGCGTGTGGCTTACCAGCACTGCCCCACCCACCCCCAGTGGCTCTGCTGTGAGGCTTCCGTCTCAGGGCATCCGTTTCTCGCTCCACACAAGCCCCCTGACTGCATCTCCTTCAAGTCACTTCCCCAGCGGTGGCTCTCCTGGCTTGGGCGGGAATGGCAGCCTGGACACCCGGGGTGGGGAGAGGCAGCCGGCTGGCGTGGGAGCTGGCCCGACAGGAGCCACTGCTGTGGGTGAAGGGTTTAAAGACAGTATCTGCTTCAGGTGATAAAGATCCCGCTTATGAGGGCCCCGGGTGGGCACCGACTTTAGCTTTCCTTTCAGGCTTTGGCCTAGATGAAGACCGGTGGGCAGGAGAGTCTGAAAGGGATCTGTCATTGTGTGTGTGACAGAAATGCACTTGGTATGGCGTGCGGTCTGTGCACGAGCTAAGGACATAGGCATCATTCGTCACCTCCTGTGCTCTTCCCACACTGCTTACACATGATTTCAAAGGTTTTTTAAAAGATGTTGTTGATAGAGAGCGTGAGCTAGGGGGAGACACATGATGACAGAGCAGGGGGGACGGGGATAAGCAGACCCTGTGCTCAGTCTCATGACCTGAGGCACAGTTCAGAGTCGGCTGCTGAACCGACTGAGCCCCAGGTGTCCCATAAACATTTTATTGTGGGGGGGGAGGCCTCCTTAGACAAGGCATCCGGAAGCCGCCTGGGAGCAGTGTTCGGGGGCGGCAAGAGGAGGGTGAACGGCCTGGACGGAAGCACTGTCCTTCTTTCCTCAGCCCCTCCATGAAGCCAGCACAGACACACGTGCAGTGAAGAAGGTGTGGGCCCGCCATGCAGGCCGAGCAGTGTCCCATGTCACACACAAACCTTGTCCCCTCCTGGATAGATTTCTGAGGCGGACACCCGAGGAGAGGCCTAGAGCAGGACCCCCGCCAGTGCTCCAGAGCCCCCCGCCACCCGTATGCACGTACCCCTTGTTGGGATCCAGGGACACGTGAGGGCAGGGAGCAGAGCAGCTTTTCCCCCAGTTGAAGATTTTGGGACCGTTTTTCTCCCATTTCACCCTCATGAGGAGAGACGTGTGTGATGGGTTCTTATAGACCCGGTGGCTGTGTCATCAGCCTCTACCACTGCCTGCGGTGGGCTTCGGGGTGTCACCGGCCAGGGTTGGTGGGGGGGCGCAGATGGTGCAAACAGCTAGAGCGAGGTGTGGGGCGTCCACGGGTGGCGGGGCAGCAAGAGGACTGCAGAGGCGGCGTAGCTTCCGCTGGGGCAGCATGTCTGAGAGAGACATGTCCTAGGTCAGGGAGGCGGCACATGCCTCCCTAAAGCATCAAGTGGTGGCGAGTAGGCAGGGGGCAGGGGGCAAGTCGGGGAGAATTATCTGGAAGGGACTGTGCCTTCTCTCCATGCCAGCCTCAGGAGGCAGAGCCACGTCTCAGGTGCAGCGGGCCTCATTAAGTGAGGGGGACACAGTTACACTTTTTAAAACTTGATGATGTAGAGAATTTTCACATACATACAAAAATAGGAAAAAAAACACTACAGTGAACGGGATGAACCTTTTACCCAGCTTCCTTTATTATCCTTGTGGCCAGCCTTTTTTTTTTAAGTGATCTACACCCAGTGGGGGTCTCAGACCTGAGACCCTGAGATCAAGAGTCGCACGCTTCATGGAGCCAGCCAGGTATCCCTCCTTGTGCCCAGTCCTAGATACATCATTCGTCTGCAGATTCTCGGTTTATAACTTTAAAAGATAAGAACTCTTCACGTGTGTACATATGTGTGTGTACGTACGTGTGTGTAGGACTCCCACTGACTGACATGTTAAACAGGTTTGCTTGTTTGAATCAGGATCCAAGTAAGGCCCATAAACTGTGATTGGTTGATGTGTCTCTTAAGTTTCTTTTTACTCTGCAGGCCCCCTTCAGGTATTTTTATGTATAAACCAAGTCGCTCGTCCTCGAATCTGGATTCCGCTGATGACAGCCCTGTGGTTTCATTTAGTGTACTTCCGTGTCCCTTGATAGTTTTTACATTGACTCAGGTTTGATCTCCCCCACCCCCAGATTTTTGCAAGACTTTCATAGGTCATGGTGGTGTTTCACATCGTGTTTCACTCTCTGGTTCTCTCTCTCTCTCTCTCTCTTTCTCTCGGGTGGCCAGTACTGAGAACCATGCGTTCAGTAGGGGGGTGCACTGTGCTCCTTCCTCCTTCGTCTGCTGGCTGGAGCATGTCTGTAAAGCAGAGCTGCCCCCTCACCAGCTGTTGTTTACCTGAGGACCAGACAAGAAGTAAACAAGTGGTGGCCTCAGTGGCAGAACGCTGGCTCAGGAAATGCGTGGGCTCTAGACCTGGGCCAGTGAGCTCCATCACTGCGTGCGGCTGTCTCGGGATTGGCACGAGATGAGTTGCCACCAGTGCTGTGGGACACATCTGTCTTGGTTCGGTGGCTGCCAGAAGTTTGGTTGGGAAAAGCACTTCCCTGTGTTCTCATTTTGAGAGAATTGCAGCCTTGTTGGAAAGAGGAGACAAAGCGGAGGCCTTTGTTTTGAGGGTGTTAAGTCCTTTATAAATGACGACTGAATGTGTGAACCACTTAGTGTCCTGTTGATGCTCGCGTCCCTTCATGATGACGCGAAGAAGAGGTGGAGTGAGGCTGGAGCCCGGGATGGCTTTGAAGAAGGTGGCCCTTGAGCTGGGCTTCAAGGGACGGGGAGGAGAAAGTGGTGGGCTTGCCAGGCGAGGGGGCAGTATGAGCAGCGAGGGACGATGGCTCACGCAAGCCGAGGGTTATGGTAAATGACTCTGTGGCCAGCCCTGGGCTGCCGGCGGGCGCAGGAAAACGCAGTAGGCATTGCACGTGTGTTCTTGGAGTACAGTCGAAACCATATTTCCTCTTGCTGACGAGAGGGAGAGGGTGCTAGAAGGTGATGTGACCCCACCAGTGGGTGTGGCACCTGCTGGCAGGCCTCTCTGGGCCCCTGCCTGGAGGACTTGACTGCAGTGGAAAGCTGGGCTCTTCCACAGAACCGGGGAGCAGCTGGGCCACTCACAGGACCCTGGAATCTTCATCCCAGAACCCGGTGCCCACCTGTAGATGAAACACAAGTCCTCAGTCCCAGTAGCGAAATGCTCACCCCTGCGGGATTCCTGTCAGATAGAAGGCTGGTCGTCCTTTGATGACTCCCCAGCGGTGAGCAGAAAGTCAGGTTAGCCAGAGCGTCGTGGAGCCTGGAGGCTGCGCCTCGTCGCTGCAGCTGTGGGCCTGGGGCCGCTGGCATGGGCTCTGCGCCCGGACACGGCCGGGCGGGGCCCGCGCCACGAGAGGGTAAGGGGCCCGTCGTGCAGGGGGTGTGAGTTCCCTGAACAGCGAGCAGAGCAGCGGAACTGAGCAGCAGAACTGAGCGGTGTTCATGTATAAATTAGCAGTTTTGGCGGTGGTGGTGGTTTTTTGTTTTAACTTTTTCTGCATATATTCTATGCAGAACGTCCTCCAGGGCCTCAGGTTCTGGTTCTTCGGGTCCTCCTGGGATCCCCTTTTCTTCTGAGCAGCCGCCTCTTCTGGGTTAGGACCGGCCTGCTCCCTCGAGTCGGGAGCAGCTCGGGCGGCAGGGAGAGCGCGGTGTGGGCTCCCCCAGCCCCGAGCCCCAGGAGCTCCACACCGCGTCTTAGTGGCTTTGTTCTCCTGTTCTGCTCCTTGACCAGGGAATCTGACTCCCACGCTTCCTTCCGGTTCAGCATGACTCTGCCTCTCTAAGCATGGGCAGTAAAAATTCAGCACCGTCTTGGGGCCACCCACCCTGTGTCCGGGCCTGCCCTTCGGCCTGGGCCTGCGTCCCACCCCCGCCCCTCCTTCATCGTGGTGACTGCGTTGCTTCCGTCACTTGTGCAAAGGGACACCGTTCAGATACTTGGCGCCTTTTCGATTATGCCTCCCCTGGATGGCCTGGGCCGTTTCACATGTTCTTAAAGTGAACGCGAAGGTTTGAGCCTCTTGATTTGCCTGATTTTGTAGGGTTTTCTGGGTCAAGTGAATAGTGAGCCATTTTCAGAGATCACTTCAAACTGCTTACGGGAAGAGCGTTGTTACTGTTTTTAATGGGAATATCCCGTGTTGGGAGGAGGAGGTGGTCAAACACTTCAGCTCGGTGGTGGATGTCTGGTTGTCACATTTCTAGAAAGGAGTTACATCCCGTGGCTTAAGAGCCTTAATACATACAGTCTAAACCTTTGGCCAGGTAACTGAAGTTCTGGGCATCCTGCTTACAGGTCCTCAGAATTGTCATGACTTCTGTTCACAAAGATACTTATTGCTGCCATGGTGGGTTTTGTTTTTTTTGTTTGTTTGTTATTTTTTAAGATTTTTTTTGTGGGGAGAGTGAAGGGTGGGGGTGCAGAGGGAGAGAGAAAGTCCTAATAAGCAGACTCCACTGAGCGTGGAGCCCAACACAGGGCTTGATCCCACATCCCCGAGATCATGACCCAAGCTGAAAGCAAGTCCGGTAGGTGCCCACCCAACCAACCGCGCCCCCTAGGCACCCATATCGCTGCCGTGGTTTTAATGGTGAAAAAGTAGAAAAAATCCAAATGTTCAATATCAGACATGGGTTCGGTTTATGTAAGATCTTAGAGAATAGATTATTATATGCGGCCCCTCTTTACAATTCTCAACTTTTGCGGGAAAACGTTTGTAACATGAATGAAGCAGGAGTACGCATGCACATCCTAGACCAATGCCTGTGTGGTCACCCAGGAGGGAAACACGCCCTGAGAAGAACTGGCAGTAGAACATGAAAACATTACTCCAGATTTTCTCTGAGCAAGGGGTTAACGGGTAAGATTTCAGGTGGAACAAAATGACATTTTAGATTTGGATCCAGACAAATGGGAGAAGAGCTGCCCAGCAGGTGCACTGTTGCGGCAGGGAGGGAGCGGCCCAGTGTGCATGGGAACCGCTTCGGTCCACCTGGGGTGTGCGCAGAGGCTGCAGGCCCTGGGATACAGCCTCTCTCTGAGGCAGTGCTCTTCCCGTGATTGGTTTCTCAGGTTCAGATTCAGAATAAGAAGGTGGACATCTCTAAGGTCTCTTCCAAGTGTGGGTCCAAGGCCAACATCAAGCACAAACCTGGTGAGTGCTGCCTCCTACACCCCAATCCCAGCATGCCTGGGGCCTGTGGTCCTGCCAGGGCCGGCTGCATGGGCCATTCCCTCAGGATTCCTGGAGCCGCCCCCGCCCAGGAGGCAGTGATGCGAACTGCGCAGTGCAGTGCCTGTCAGGGAGGGGGCTCTGGGCGCTCAACACCTCGGGGCCTCTGAGGAGGAGCAGGTCTTAAAGGCTGCCATTGTCCTGGGCATCACTGTGTCCAGCACCTGCCGCGGGCCTGGCCCTCCTGGGTCACGGGCCAAGACCTGGTGCCCAAGGAGTTGTCAGATTAGGCTCCTCTGAGGCAGTGGAACCTCGGCAGCCGGCCACGGCTGGGGGTCTCTGCTGCAGCGGGGGTGCGGTCAGCTCCAACCCTGGGTCCGGCTTCCGGGAGGCTGGGCACTGGGGCCAGTTCCCTCTCAGCAGAAAGTGTCATCATCCATTAGAGAACATGTCCTGTTTAAAAGGATCAGAATAGTTTGGCCCTTAACTCAATGTCACCTTCCCCTTTTTATCTGGAAAATCTGCTCTTGTGTGGTACCTCCCTCGCTAGTGCTGCGGACTGACTGGAGGCCCAGATTTTGCCTGAGGGGGTGAGATGGGAGGTGGACTTAAGGGCGGGGGTGAGTTGGTGAACGTGGCAAGAAGCTGGGACGTGAGCTGGGGAGACGGCCACTTGAGGGAAGCTCAGCTGCGGGGCCTGGAGCAGGGTGGATCCAGCAGAGCAGTCTGGGCCCAGATCCTATGGCCACACCGTGGCTGTGAGCTCTGAACCTTGTCCTGGTGTGTGGGCCACCTCCATGCCCCAGCCAGGCAGGAGCACTGGGCCCCGGGACCCTGTGCCTGTCCTTTCTAAACTCAGTGCCAGGACCACTCCCACCGCTCCTGCACTGCAGGAGAAGGCAGTGCAGAGAAGCCGCTTTCCACTTTCCTTCTTGTCACTACAGTGCAGCTCAGTTCAGCGGCTCAGACAGACCACAGTTCCATCCTGTCTGCCCATCACCAGCTTGACGGTGACTTTAGGCAAGTCATTCGTCTTTTCCAGCATCAGCTGTAGCAGCTGTGAAACCAGGATCCTAACCCTGACGGACAGAGTGTTCGTAGACTGAAAGGAAGCTGGGGCACCCCGTATCCCCAAGTTGGAGGGAGTCACTACACTGCCAAGAGAACCTAAAAGCACACGTCCTCGAGGCACTTTTAGATGTTTGGCTGGAGGCCATGCCTCAGACCTCTGGCAGAGGTGAGGGTGACTTTGCTTCTCTGTGGAGGCGTTCCCGCTGCAGGTGCAGATTGTCAGCCCCACTTTGAGAAGATGAGTCCTCTGTGACAGGCACATTCACTGTCCATCCTGCGTTGTCCCCAGAGCCGCTGGGAACAGGTCACGTTGGTGTCTGTACTGGGCACGCAGCAGGTCCTCGGCCAAGCTAGGATTCCTGTTCCAGCCTCCAGGTTTTGCCTGTGTGACGGGTGGTTTTTTGGTTCCAGGTGGAGGAGATGTCAAGATTGAAAGTCAGAAGTTGAACTTCAAGGAGAAGGCCCAGGCGAAGGTGGGATCCCTCGATAATGTGGGCCACCTGCCTGCAGGAGGTGCCGTGAAGGTAGCGAGTGGGGCAGCGGGGGCCACAGCAGGGGACGTTGCCTGGCCAGGGTGGGTGGGGTGGTGCAGCTGGAGTCGGGGTCCCAGCCCCTGGGTGCCTGTCACCGCCCCTCAGTATCGTCAGGAGTCCTGTGCCCCCACGCCGTTGTGTGTTCCCCGTGTTCATCATCAGTCCCGAGTGAGGCAGGAGAGGTAAAGAGGCCCCGGCCCAGCGGCCTCTGCCCTGTCCACCTGGGGAGAGACCCTCTCCTGAGAGCCGTGGCCTGCCTTTCTGAGCCCATTTCAGCCATTTCCAAAGGGCCTGTGAGCTGGCACGCTACTCCCCCACAAGGTGGGTGGTCTGCGTGGCCTGACTGTCCCTGTCTGCCTCATGAGAGGGCACATGGGGACGTGCTCCATGCAAGACTCCGCTGGGCCCGTGAGCAGGGTAGCACGGCTTCAGCCGCCAGGCCCACCCCAGGCTGGGGCTCTGGGAGAGCGCTCAGATGGGCAGGGCTTCCCATTCTCAGGCCTGGCTGGGCCTCTCCTGCCTTCCTTCCCTCCCTCCCTCCCGCCTTCCCTTCCTCCCTCCTTCCACAGCACCTCGAGACCCTTTGTGCCAAGATGCTGTTGTCCTCTGTTCCATGTTCTTGCGGGGGTAGGGGGACCTTGGGGGTAGCAGCTTGCTGAGGAGAGCTGCAGCTGCTCAGGGGAAGGGGAGCAGGGGTGAGGACGAAGAGCAGCTGTGGTGGGCCTTCCCTCCTGCCTGGCCCAGCCCAGCCTCTGTCCCAGCTTCCGTCGGTGATCCCATATTTGGGGTCCTGGCCCTGTCACAGGCTCTCAGTCATGCCTCCAGACCTTGTGAGGAGCCACTCCCTAGTCTGTCCTAGTGGGGCCTAGCTCAGGTCTTGTCCGAGGTCACGTGGCAGGTACTCTGGACCAGGGTTTGCACCTGGGCCTTCTGACCCCCAAGTCTGGTGTTCTTTATTCACATCATCTCCCTTTGTTATTTCTGGAATTGTTTTCCAATACAGAGGCCTGTCTCCTTTACTGTTGTGATTAGAAACCACTGTGGAGTCATTGTCCCCTTTTGGGCATTCTGGGGCCCAGAGGTTCCAGCTCCCCACTGGCCTTCCCTTTTCTGCTTTATTCATACTGGGTGTTCATCGCCCACGCCATCCTCCTCCTGGGAAGCCCTCGGGGCCCCAAAGTTTCCCTGGGTCACACCTCTCTGGCCACCCCTCCTTGTGTCCCCAGGCTCCAGGAGGGCGCCCAGCACAGCAGAGGCCTCCATGTCTGGAGACGGCTAGGTGAACAGGCAGGGGTGCCCCCGAGTTTCCAAGAGAGCCCCTCTGCGGTGGGAGTGGTCTGGAGTTCACGGGGTCAGAGGCGGCAGGCTGCACCCCTCTGACCCGACTTCAGGCTCCCAGAGCTCCCTGACTGGCCTGTAGCACCCCCGCTTCCCAGCCAGTTGCAGACCCATACACTAGCCATCGTCCCCCGGGTTTTTGCTAATGATCCGCTGTCACGGCTAGCTGTTTGGTGCCATCGTGGGTGAGAAGCCTGCCCCTCTCGCCTTTCACCCCAGAAAGACTTCAGGAAACCTTGCTTTTCGCAGAGGAGTCTTCCGGAGTGTGTCACTAGCTAGGCTGCACGCCGGGCCTAGGGCTGTGCTCTCCTGCTCTGCACCGGGCCAGGTCTCGGGGTCAGGAGTCGCCTCATGGTGGGGGATGGGGCGGGGAGTACCTGGCCTAGATTCTTCAGCCGGCTGGGGTCAGCGGTGGGAGGGGGGCTGTGTGTAAAACCCACCACCATCACCCATCCCACCTCCTCCCCGACTGACCCTGCACTGTCTCCCCCACTGTTTCATTGTAGACTGAGGGCGGTGGCAGCGAGGCCCCTCCGTGTCCGGGCCCCCCCGCTGGGGAGGAGCCGGCCATCCCTGAGCCAGCGCCCGAAGCTGGCGCCCCCACTTCAGCCAGTGGCCTCAGTGGCCACACCACCCTGGCAGGGGGTGGTGACCAAAGGGAGGCCCAGACCTTGGACAGCCAGATCCAGGAGACAAGTAAGTGGCTGGGCTTGGCCTGAGGGCCAGCCGGGGGCCCTGCCACTGGCTGCAAATTGAAACTTTTTTTTTTTTTTTTTTTTTTTTTTGAGTAGAGTGTGGCCTAAATTTTAACCAAGCAACCTTTTATTTTCCAGGCATCTAATGATGACATTCTGGTCTCGTCTTCCGTCCCCTGTGTTCCCCCTCTTGTGTCCCTTGTTCCCCCCTCCCTTCCCTCCTCCCGTGTCACTGCAGATTGAGACCTACAGGCTGACGTTCCGGGCAAACGCCAGGGCCCGCACCGACCATGGGGCTGACATTGTCTCCCGCCCCCCCTACTTCCCTGGCGGCCCCAGCTCAGGCCCCCGGGCCCTTGGCTCCCTCTCCCGGGCTGCGATCTAGACCCCACACGGCTTGGATGCTGGGCAGTCCTCCAGGCCCTACCCCCTTCCCTTGCCCTGCTTGCCCCGGGCAGCAGCAGACCCGCCCCCACACCTCCACTGCTCCCCACCCTGGGCCTACTCCTTGCTTTGTTCCTGTCCCATCGTTGCGCACCGCTCTGCAGATGAGGTTGGGAGGTGATGGGCTGGGGAGGCCAACTTGGGATCTTATGGGATCTAGGAGGGGGGGAACCGGATTCCAACCTCCTCTTTGGGTTTTTTGGACCAAACCCAAGAGAAACTGACATACCCACCCTCCTCGCTGGGCCCACTTGGAGAGAAGAGTGGAGCTGGACAGCCACACGGTGGCAGGATGCTGATTGCACCCCCTGGAGCCCGCTAAGCCACTGCCTCTCCCTGTGACCCTCTGTGGTGCCCACTGTGCAGGTGGGGCCAGGCACCTCTTGCTGCCCTGCCCCAAGTTAGTTAGGGGTCAGCTCGGACTGTCCTCACTGCTTCCCATACCCACCTAGCTGCTGTCACACTCTTTTTTTTTTTTTTTTTTTTCTTAATAACCTAAAAACTGGTAGAGGAGTTTTGCAGGTTGAAGCCATGTCTAAATGAAAGTCCTCAGTAGGTGTTAAAGGAAACAGGGAGGGGAGATCCTTAAGCCTCCAGCCAGGAGGTCAGGCATCAGGGGGCTGCCCTGGTCTGGGCAGCTTGGGGCCCCGGATAAGGTGTGGGCACAGCAGGTGAGGTGCAGGGGCTGTGGCCTGGTGAGCAGGGAGGGCATACTAGGGACTGGTCAGAGTGTGGTCTGGTTGTTCTGGTATTTTGTGTGTATGCTGCTTTTCTTTTCTAACCAAGAGGCTGGTTTTGGCATCTTTGTCTGTCTCATTCCCTGGGATCTAGTGGGAGGTACAAGTTTGGGGCTGGAGAAACAGGGAAGGACTCTGGAGGTCATAATCCTCCAGACTCGCAGGCCTAGGACACCAGAGCCCTGTTACCAGGGAGCCCAAGATGTCCAGACTCACGTGGGGGATGGGGAATCAGGTGTGGAAATTTCAAAAAGGCATGAGACAGGCCATCTCCCCCACCCCTAACAGCCTGACTGGGGAGGGGGGAGAGGCGAGGCCAGCCTGTGCAGGGGTGTCCCAGCTAGGCCCGGTCTTGGGACCGCTGCAATGATGAGAAATCCCGGGAATTGTATTGACACGAAGATTCTTATTGCACTTGTTTTTTTTTTTTTTTTTTTTTTTGTATTAAAGTTTGCATGGTTTCTAATAAAGGATTAAAATGTAACAGTTTGTAGTGAAGTGGCCGGGAGTCTCCAAGGGCGTCTCCTCTGGAGGAGCATTTCCTGCAGCGCAGACTTGCCCCTTGAGGCTGCCAGATTTGGCCCCTCGCCGCCCCACCCCGCCATTGCGCCTGCTGTCCCCCTTCCTGGAGCCCAGGAAGAAGGGTTCTTGACATTGGTTCCGATCGGACCTCCATGTAGAGGGTGGGCATCTGGGCCAGCAGGTTCTCCCACTTAGGAGGTAGCATTTCCCTCGGGGAGGTGGGACACCACATCCGCAGCTCCCCGAGCACGTGCTGCAGGGGGCTGGTGGAGAAAGCCTTCCCCGCACCAGACGCTAGAGTGCCATGTGCCAAGGACATCGGGGCACAGTGTTTTGTCAGCAGGAGAGAGGGATGGAAGGCAGCTGGGGAGGAAGTGGGGCAGCTGCAGGGCCGGAAAGTACCTGTGCCCTCCTCTTTAGCTCCAGGGCCACAGATGCTGAGGCAGGTGACTGGCTCAGTCCGAGGGAAGGGCTGGGAGAGGTGAGCCTCGTGGGGAACGGTCTGTGTGGGCTGGCGTGGTCCCAGCTCCCTTGAAGCGTTCCCCCAATGCCAAGAAGGTGCCCTGACAGCATGTGGGTGCATTTCTGCACCTCCAGTTTGCTTCTGGCTCAGCCATTGCCTGTGTCAATCTGTGATTCTGTTGTACTGATCTCAAGAGTCAATAAAGCTCATGAAGTCCTACCGCACAGGCCCCGTCTCTTCTGTCCGTCCTGGTTTGTCTCCAGCCCCAGCATCACTGACCTTGCCCCGTAGTGCATCCGCTGTCTTCAACGGGCTGCTGGGTACCATGCCGTCTTGATGACCTTAGCCAAGTCGCAGCTCACAGAAGGGCCGCTGCACCACCTAAGGCCCCTGAAGGTTAAGGTTCAAGTGGCCTTAGCTGCCTGTGGAACTTCTCACTGGTTCTGCTCAGGGGGCCAGGAGGTAAAGATTTGCGAAGAGCCCGCAGTGGTCCACTGGCCCCGAGAGAGAGGCCAGGGTCCTGGCCCAGAGAAAGTGGCAGCCCTGGGCCCTGCAAGAAGCAGGAGCGTGGGTGCCGGGCCCCCAAGAGAGGAGCCCCCCGCGGAGAGCAATGCTCACAAGGGATAAATAGAACTTTATTTTAAATAAACATTTGCACTCTGTACACAGCCCCAGCAGACAACGGGGCTCAGTCATCCGCTGTCTTGCGCACGTCGAAGCTGCCGCAGGGCCCACGCAGCAGCTCCGCCAGCAGCGCCAGCAGCTGCCCGTGCTCCTGCTGCACGCCCGGTGGCAGAGCGGCCAGCTCGCTGCGCAGGCTCCGCTCCACCATGCGGCCCAGCGCTCGGCGCAGCTCCCGCAGCAGCCGCACGGTGCGCGAGTCCCCCTCCAGCCGTAGCAGATCACTGTCGCTCAGGGAGATGGTGGCCCGGCGCCCATCATCTGCAGGGGGTGGGGGAAGAGAGAGCGCAGAGGTGAAGCCAGGCTGGGGGCTCCCCACCAGAGGATGCAGACCAGCCCAAGCCGTGGTGGGGCAGAAGGCAGGTGAGCACCCACCACGGATGTGGACGTCCCCGTCGGTCAGCAGCAGCACGGCTAGCGGGTGCACCTGGGAGGAGTCCCGGACGAAGACACTGCCGTTGGACTTGACAGCCATGAAGTACGTCAGCCACCGGCTCCGCAGCCGCGTGGCCTCTCTGCGGGATAGAAGGCAGGCGTGAGCCCACCCTCCTCGACCAGGCAGCCGCCCTTCCCCGGCCCTGGCTGCTTCCTACCGGTTAATGGTCGACTTGTGTAGCAAGATGTTTCCTGACTTGGTCCTGTAAGTGACGCTGTTGGGCTTGAATTTGCCCTGCCTGGTCACCTTGCCCTGTCTCACCTGCAAGAATCAAGGAGACGGACGGGCTGAGCGAGAAGCAGGGCGGGAGGGTGGGGCTGATGGGGCTAAGAGGCTGGGCCGCTGGCCCCTTCCCGAGGCAGCACCTGGATGAGGTTGGGGTAGAGGCCGGCCATCAGCACGCCCTTCACCAGCTCCTCCTCTTCGCTGTACTCGTTGCACTGGGCAGAGGCCAGCGTGCAGTCCGAGGGCTTCCCCACCAGGAAAGCCTCGTAAATGTTCTCCGAGAACTGCTTGATGAGTCCTGGGGAGGTGAAGGCGGGCTAGGCCTGTGGCCCCTGAGCCACAAGGCTGGGGAACCACAAGCCTGGGCCTCAGGGGGCGGCGGGGGGGGGGGGGGGGGAAGGGCCACTGACCATGGATGAACCGTAGGCTGGGGGCGTACAGCAGGTTTTCCTCCAGATAGTTCTCACGGGAGCTGCGGTCCTGCCAGCGCAGCACCTCCTCCCAGCCAGCAACGGCCCGCACAAAGGCCAGGTGGTCACTGCCGCTGTCGTGGCTCAACAGTGCCTTCACCTGGGAGGGGGCGGGAGGGGGCACCGAGGCCACAGGGTGAGGGCCGGCTGCGATGGCAGCTTCGGGACGGGGTGGGGGAGGGACTGGGTCTGACCTTGTCCACCTCCGCCCTGTTCTGCAGGCTACTGCTGAAGGGGTCCCGGGTGAGGCAGGAAACGACCACCAGCAGCGGGTGCAGGCAACGGAAGATGGCAGCCAGCACTATGGCCTTGGCCAGCCGGGGGTCAGTGGAGATGTGGGCCAGGCGCTGCCCCAGGGTGGTCAGGTACTCCCGCTGGTCCAGCACCCCTGCAATAGCTCCGCGGTCAGACTCGCCCTCAGAGCCACCCTACAGCCCTGCCCGGCCAGGCCCGGCCTGACTCACCGATCTCCTGGAGCAAGATCACAGCCTCATCCACCGCCTTGATGTTTGGACTGTCCACGGCCTTGGAAAGGAACTCCACTGCCTACAGCAAGCAGCAGCCAGATGTGGGCCGTGAGCCCCACATCCCACCTGCCCCGCACCAAGTCCAGCCCCAGCCCAGCCCCCGCTCCGGCGCACCGTCTTCTCAGGCATGTGGATTTTGGCCTGTAGCACCAGGTTCTCGAGGGGCGTGCGCAGAATCTCCGGCACTTGGAAAGGGACCATTTTCTCCAGCCGGCTCCGCGGGAACAGGTGGTAGGCAAAGCCTGACTGGCAGCGGCCCGCCCGGCCCCGGCGCTGGATCACATTGGCTCGTGACACCCACACAGTCTCCAGGCAGGACACCTGGGGGAGGCGGCAGGTGAGCAGCGACATAGAGGCCAACAGGCCTTCCTCAGCGCCGCCCCTCGTCTGGCCTGCACCTCACTTAATCCCTCAACGGCCCCCCCACAACAGGGACACAGAGAGCCCACGAGTGTGGCCTTCTCCAGACACACACAGCAGATCCAAGGCTGATCTGGGCTGGGGGCCACCTCAGAACTTGTAGTTCTTCCCCCAAGGGCTGGCTGGGCCCAGGAGATGGGTGCCACCTTGGTCTTCAGGTCATAGCGCTCCTCCTTGTGCAGACCACTGTCCACCACATGCACAATATCATTGACTGTGATCGACGTCTCCGCGATATTGGTGGCCAACACAATCTTGCGCACCCCAACCGGCGGCTGCTGGAATATGGCCTTCTGGTCCATCATGGGGATGTTGGAGTGCACTGGTGGGCAGCAAGAACATGCTGGTTATGGGCACAGCTCCTGCTCCCTGTGATGAGGCCACAGGGCAAGGATTTTGATACCATTTTGATGGAACGGAGACCCAGAT